CCTGCTCGCGCTGGCCGATGGGGAGCTCGGGGAGCACGGAGCCCGGCCGCCGGAGCCCTCCGCTCGCACGAGCCCCTCCCTGCAGGCGTACAGGCCGGCCGTGCTCCGGGGCCTGGCCGCTGGCTGGCTCCAGTACCTTTCAGCCCTCCTGCACAACGCCGCCGGCTCCTCCGCCATGGAGGCCAACACAGTCATCCAGCGGCATCTGCAGCACGCGCCAGCCTCGGGCTCGCCCATAGGGAGCGTCCTGCATGAACACAGTCGAGGCTGCGGGTGGATGTTCAGCCCCCGGCTTCCAGACGAACGGGAGCGGGGCTCCAGGGTCTATGATGCGGTCACACCTAAGGTGGAGGCCTGGCGCCGCGCACTGGATCTGGTTCTCCTAATCCTGCAGACCGACAGCGAAATCATCACTGGACACGGACACACTCAGATGCGTGCACAGCACGCAGACGGTGTTTCATTTCTGTAGTACTCCCCGCTAAGTCTTTGGGAAGTAAACGGATTTTCATGTATCATGCTAGTAATGAACTTAACAGTCTGGTCATAATACGTGCAGTGCTAGAAGAAAATAATCAGTCTGCCTCAGGGCATTTGCATGGCAGGACCTCGATTATTCATAACAGAGGCTGTATGGTGGGCTCTGCTTTAGTTTCATCTATTCCCCTTGTGTCCGAAGACCCATAGAAGCAACACAGTGGGCCAGGTATGGGAGTTAAATATAACTTGTCTCCTAGAATAGCACAAATCTCAAGATAGTTCCTGCTTTTAAAATAAGCAGCAGCAGCCAGGTGCCAGCGGCTCTGCCTGTAACCCTAGCTGCTCAGGATGCTGAGACTGGAGGATCATGATTTAAGCCAGCTAGGCAGGAACGTCTGGGAGACTCTTCCCTCCAATGAACCACCAAGAATGGAAGTGGAGCTGTGGCTCAAAGTGGTCGATAATGCCCAGGCTCTGAGTTCAAGCCCCAGGACCAGGACACACACACATACACAAAATCATTTTAATTGAAATTTTTGAACAGCACACAGGGTGGCAGAAATCACATGCAGTCACTAGTTATGAAATGAGAATTTATACAACTCGAGAACTGGGGGCTGGGAAGGTGGCTCAGTGGTAGAGCGCTTGCCTTGCATGCCTGAGGCCCTGGGTTCCATTCCTCAGCACCACATAAGAAAAAAGAAAAAAAGCCGGAAGTGGTGCTGTGGCTCAAGTGGTAGAGTGCTAGCCTTGAGCTGAAGAGCTGAGGGACAGCGCCCAGGCCCAGAGTTCAGGCCCCATGACCGGACCCAAAAAAAAAAAAAAAAACAACTCGAGAACTGGGCAAGAAACATTTGGATTAAACTGTAACTAGGAGGAGGGATGGGAAGCCTTTTTTCTGCCAAGGGCCATTGGATATTTATAATTATTAATGGTAGTCCAGGCATCTGGTGAATGACATCCACACCTGGTCTAAATAAGTGAATGAAGCCTCATGTGCACCTCCCACCCACCCCCAGCCCCACTGTGAGGGCAGACACAGTCCACAGAAAACACCACAAGAGACAAGTTTCATTACTGGAACTCAGTGAAGGAATTTTGCATTCAAGGATCCTGCTAAAACTCTGGAACAGGTGAGAAGTATAGCTCTTCTTTTTTTTTGCTGGTCTGGGCCTGGGCGCGCTCCTTCAGTCTAGCTCAAGTCTAGCACTCTTACCACTTGAGCCACAACGCCATTTCTGGTTTTCTGGTGGTTTATTGGAGATAAGCGTCTCCCAGACTTGTCTGGCTTTGAACTGTGATCCTCATATCTCAGCCTCCTGAGTAGCTAGGATTACAGGCATGACACTGGGTCCAACAAACACTTTCCATTTAAAATGACTCAAAAGATGACTTTTCTCATCTTTATTAGTAAATATAAATACAAAAATATAGATATATCTAAAATATGTGGAGATATAGAATATATACTGAAAACAAGCTGACTCAGTGTATGTGTGTATATGTATTTGAGACAGGATTCTCATTGTATAGCCTCGCTGGCCAGGAACTCACTGAATAGAGCCAAGGCTGGCCTCAAACTCGTCATCCTCCTGCCTTGGCCTCCCTATTACTGGGATTACAGGCATACACACCACACCCAGCTAGGGTAGAAAATATACTAGCTGTCTTAGATGGACTCCTGGGATAGCCACATCCTTTCACAGACAGCAAGTTGCCAGATCACCCACGTTATTGGTGGCTTATCCGACTTCATACTTGACTAATATTATTGCCTGTTTGGGCACCTTTTATTTAGGCCCTAGTCTTTTGTTTTGTGTTGTTTTGCCTTAACTATAGACTGTTGTGTTTTTTTCTCTTTTTACCTATTCACACTTCCATCCTGGGATTTTGTGTGTGTGTGTGTGTGTGTGTGTGTGCGTGCGTGTGCTTGAACTTGTCTTGGGCACTTCCCTTAGGTTTTCCCTCAAGGCTGATTCCCTACCATTTGAGCCATGGCCCCACTTCTGGCTTTTTACTGGTTACTAGGAGACTAAGAGTCTCAAAGACTTTTCTGCCTCGTTTGGCTTTGAACTACAGTCCTCAGATGTCAGATGTCCTGAGTAGCTAGGATTACAGGCGTGAGCCACCAGTGCCTATTAAACACATCCATTCTTTAATTAGACTTCAAGACATCTCTAGAGGAATCTCTTGGTCTCTTTTTATTTTCCATACACATTAATGATGTAACCGTTATTTAATGTTTGGGATATGGTTTTCTAAGGTTCCTCTGTGTATACATGTACATATAAATACATTTTGTTTTTACAATCTAAAAGGATAACCAAAAACACTCAACTCCTGTCAATAAATAATTAGCTCAGGGTACCAGGCACTGGTGACTCACCTGTAATCCTGGCTACTCAGGAGACAGATCTGAGGGGAGCATGGTTTGAAGCCAGCTCAGGCAGGGAAGTTTGTGAGACTTTCACCTCCAATTAACCAGCAAAAACCTAGAAGTGGAGCTCAGGCTCAAGAGCATCAGTTTTGAGGAGAAAAGCTAAAGGACAGCACCCAGGCCCTGAGTTCAGAGCAGATGGTTAGGTCACTTTCATCCTGGAAGACATAAACAAGTCTATTACAAGTACATTTGTAACTGAGTTTTCCCTATCATTCATAATTTTGGATACATTCTTAGAAATGGACTCAGAATAAACAGGAAGAGGGACAATTTAAAGCCTTTCTAACACAGTCTTACCAATAATTATCCCCCTCAAAAAAAGAGCTTTATTTCTCCAACTGTTTTTAGCACATGACACTATTATTTAAATTTTGTTTGATCAATTTGGGTGAAAATGACATCTCAATTTAAAATGTTGTTGGTGTGGAAGAAAATTTTATTCTGGGCTGGGAAGGTGGCTCAGTGGTAGAGTGCTTGCCTTGCATGCCTGAGGCCCTGGGTTCGGTTCCTCAGCACCACATAAGCAAAAAGAAAAAAGCCAGAAGTGGCTCTGTGGCTCAAGTGGTAGAGCGCTAGCCTTGAGCTGAAGAGCTGAAGGACAGTGCCCAGGCCCAGAGTTCAGGCCCCATGACTGGACCCCCAAAAAACAACCAAAAACAAAAGCAAAACAAAAAAAAATTATTCTTTGTTTTTAAATACTTGTAAAATGTCTCTATTCCTGTAGTGTTTTTAAAAGTCTTCACAGTGTAGGACTTTCTCACAATCATCTATACAGATAACTACATCTTCTATGATCTGCATATCTTTTATATTTAATATGTAACCCATCTGGAATTTATTTTATTAGACCCTATGAGGTAACACTAAACTTTTCCCAAATGGTGTCCAGTGTTCCTACATCATGAGATTCTCATTACTCACTCCGATGCTTCCAGCAGTGAGGAGACATTGCCAGCAGAAACCAGGAGACACCAGGATACCAAACAGCAGAGACCATGGTGGTGGTTGCTAGGAAACATTCCTATGTCTAAGTTCTAGATCATTCTCTTCAGCATTGTGACCCATTTGGCCACAATAGGGCCACATACTAATGAAGAAAAGAACATACTGGAAACTTGTGCTAAATGTGTTGAGAACAGGAGGAAGTATCTCTGCTACAGAAGTCTTCCTGTATTGGATTGACAGCTAATTCTCCAAAAGAATTTGTAGAAACTGTCTCATCAAACAAAAAGCCTTGCCCTGAAAAAGCCAGAGATGTCTTCTTTCCTTTGACCTGTAGGTGGCAGGCTTCTCCTCATGTGGTCTCAAAACGTTATCTGGGAGATTTTGAGTGTGTGTGTAAGAGAGAGAGAGAGAGAGGGAGGGAGGGAGGGAGGGAGGGAAGGAAGAGGAAGTGTTCCTTTCCTGGGGCTTGATTCAGGGCCTGAGCACTGTCCCTTACTTTTCCTCTTAAGGCTGGTGCTTTACCACTTGAGCCACAGCTTGGCTTCTGGCTTTTTCCTGGTTAAGTGGAAATAGTCTCCTAGACTTCCTTGCCAGGGCTGGTTTTGAACTACAGCCCTCAGATCTCAGCCTCCTGAGTATCTAGGATTACAGGTGTGAACCACAGGCACCTTGGTGTTTTATATTACTAGTTCATTTTAAGTGAACTTGTGAAAGGCTTTCAAATTTAAAATCTTATTTTGTCACCCATCCTACTAATTACCATTGTCATCATGATAAATTCACATTTGGGAAAAGTGAAGCCTTTATGAAGGTGTGGGCACTGTGCATGGGGTTTTCACTCAGGATAGTCATTTGGGGAGATGAATTTGGCTGTGACTCAATGAATCCATGGCTGAACCAATTGTGTACGATATAGTACGCACTTAAATGTGAGCACGCCTAAGTTGCATGTAGAGTATAATGAGAGTTACTGAACCTAGGTGTTTACACCCAGGCCCGAAGTCCAGGAGTCCCACATTAGGTCCGGCCACTCTGCCCCATATGCCAAATAAAGAGACATGGTGAAGGGCATAGGAAGAAGATGGATTCCATAGTGGCCATGGGAAGACAGCACTTGAGTTCATTTCCAGCCATGGTCAGGAGTACAGACACTGGCTTCAGGCTACATAGGGAGAACTGGGAAAGGGGGTGGGAGGGAAAGGGATGAGACAGGTTGCAGAGTTAAATCAGCCCCAGATCACAGTTTGTCCCTGGAGGAATGCTGAAGCAGTCATCACTTTATTACTGGACAGAACAAGAACGAGGTAATCTTGGCTGCTTGCTTTAAGAGTAAGGGAGAGACATTTCTTGTTTGTTTTGTTTTTCCCAGTCCTGGAGCTTGAACTCAGGGCCTGGGCACTGTCCCTGAGCTGCTTTTGCTCAAGGCTAGCACTCTACCACTTGAGCCACAGTGCCACTTCCAGCCTTTTCTGTTTATGTGGTACTGAGGAATTGAATCCAGGGCTTCATGCATGCTACGCAAGCACTCTACAACTAAGCCACCTTCCCAGCCTCATTTCTTGTTTGAAGGACAACGTGCCTTCCACACAAGATGGTGCTCATTGAATCTTCTCTTTCTCCTGTGAAAGGATGATTTCAGCAGAGAATAGCTCAACT